ATTAAATATGATGCAAAAATTAAGATTTAATTCGAATTTCCTACAACGAATGTTCTTATACGGTGAGCAGATTGATCGCTTATAGGCGCCCACATTGGGAAAAAATGCAGATCTAGCGTGCAGAAAATAAAAGTAGATGTTTTACTGTATGTTTATCGATATTTTGGATAATAATAAATTTAGATGGACAATTTTAATTATTTTATTAAAAATGTTGGCATTTTTTTAACATTAACCCACCAAGCGCCGATTTTTTTTTTTAGAAAAAACTTAAATTTTTAGTTTAAAATACTATTTTCAAGCTTTTTAAATATTTTTTAATAAGCAACATTTTTCGTTATAACTAATAGTACTCCTAAAATGGGGATGGGTTAAGAGCAAACACTATTGTTATTATATGTACCTTTATTATTGTTAATATTATATATCTAAAACATTAAACTATATATATTTTATAAAATTTAGGCATTACTTATTAAATACTAATCACATTCAGAATTCGAGTTTTGATCTGAATTATTTGGTAGCATTGGATCCTCCAGTAGTTTAAGGACTTCTTCAGATAGTGGCTCACTATATCGATGGTTAAGAGATGTACTACGAGACAAACTTGATATTTTTGGATCAGAAGAAAATAGCAACCTAATGAAAAGATCCCTCATTGTTTCCTCACGACTAATTTTTCTGCTGTACAGTTCCCTGTAGTTCCGAAAGTCCTTATTTCTGGATTCCATGGCTTCTTCAGACAACATTCCTATGGGCAAAGCTGCACATTTAATTATATCAGCTCCTTGGAGTAATATTTTGTGTATGCTTGAAGGCATATAGAACCAAGGATATAATTCCACGAAAAAAATAAATGTTTCCTCAGTAAGTTTTTTAAATGACTCTGCGTTAATAGCATATCCACAGGCCATGGTTGAAAGGATGATACTAAGATTTTTAATTAATTTTTTATCAACACCAGTTATCGACGATGGCAAGCCAGTTTGGCTAAAAATAACGCCTAGCAGTATTGCCATCGTTTGTTGTTTTGGATACTGACTTAGGTGTATCAACAATAATTTGCATTTCTTCCTTCAAATCATTAATGATACGTGCCTTCCTTTCTTCGAAAAGTGGCCGATCGGAGCTATTAATTTTCCAATTTTTTAAAACCAGTCAGTATGAAATGTGCAATATACATTCTAAACATCGAATCCTTGCATGTAAGGTCATTGGAAAACCCATAAAGGTAAAATAAAAGTCCATAAACTCAACCTTCATGCACAAAATTTCCGTTTGCTTATAGCGAAAACCATAATGTAGGTAAAACCGTGTAAATATGAATGTTTATTGGTGTATATTTTTTCAGGGTTCATAAAGTAGACCCTTTACCTGTGGTATTTGAAAAGACTCTTACAACCGATTTCGTTGTAATTTCAAATGTCTTTTTAAAAAGACATTTGGAATAAATGTATATTCAGTGCATGAGTTTAAAATCACTGTTTGGAGCAGCTTACTTAAATACTTTCATTTTCATACTCACGCCCATTACTCTGGAACCTTAGGACGGACATTTTGAACTTGTTTTTTTCTTATCTGCTATGCTGTGATCTATTCCAAGTCATATTTGATCAATTATATAAACAAAATTCACAAAATTTTTAATTTTATTTGAACAAAACCTTAAAAAAGCTTCCTACACCAAATTGACATTTTTCAAAAAATTGCCATAAATCCGAGAGTCGCAGGAAAAAATTAGTATGATGTTCTCGACAGACACAAAAAAATAAAAAAATCAACGATGAACTCGACTGCACTCCATACGAAACCCCTATTTTAATTGACCTTAATTAAAAAAACGGACCTTACATATATTTAGCCCGAAACACCTATATTAAAATAACTTATGGGTTATATAACTATTCCATTTAAATAAATACCAATACTATATATCAAAAATGGACAAAATTCTATAATAATATATTCACAGAATGCACACGACCATCGCAATTTTATAGCTAAAAAATACCAATTTTAACATTGGAAAAATATATATTTTAAATATACCGTTATTTCGTTCTAACTTATTAATTCGGATTATTTTATACGGACTTAAGTACACTCAACACTCTACTGTAAAACTGCATTAATGATTTAAAGTTTCCTTCAAGTTCATTTTTTTATTTTCTGCGCGCTAGATCGGTATTTTTTCCACTGTGCGCCCGGTGTGGATAGTGGAAATTGCTTAGTAAGCAGCCGCGCTAACATAGCTAAAATTATTAAATTATCTGTTCTACATATTTTCTTGCCACTTAGTTCCCCAATTGTGATTTACAATCACGTCTCCTTCAATGGTTTATGATTTGCATTCATGGTACCATCAGCATTCGATTAACTCTAAGTTCTTGCCTAGATGCCTCAACAATAAATAGGTTTAATTACTCAGTAATACAAATACAAATATTCTATGTCATATTCACTCTTAAATTTATTCTACCATGATAATCCATGTTTGATTCTCTAGTCATAAAAACACAATGGACGACAAGAAGATGCAATAATATATTTTTTGGCGATGTCGGTAAACTCCCAGTAGTCGTAAATTTTAAGTTATTCTGATAAAAAAACAACAACGTCTACGAGAGCGGGTATACTACGACAACGGCTAACCTAATAAGGGTGAAAATCTGTGATATCAGTACGAAGTTTGAAATAAGAACACAACTCCATTTAATGGGTATAATAGTTTGAAGTAGAATTTTTTTATTACGCACTTTCATACAAATATATACGAAAAATGCAATTTTTTAATTATAAACGTGGATAAGGAATTTATATTATAAGGTTACTATTAAAATATACAAATGTGTTGTATTTACGTTTTGTTTTTGTTTCGTTTAATTTGTGTAATTGGTGTTAGTTACAATATTTAATAATTATTGAAATAAAAAAGATTGTGATTTTATATCTTGCACAATAATATAAATTTTACATTTTTTGCTCTTACAATTTTTTGTTAAGAAAAAATAGTGTTCGATTTGTTGTTAACCATTTTGCTTATTATAGATTCTTGTGTTTCAAGTAATTTATGTTATATATATATATTTTTTTTTTTTTAATTATTTAGCAACAAACGCTTTATCTTAATAAAATTTACGAAAATTGCTTTAATCATAAATATTTGTAAAAAAAATTATATTGAGAATCAATTACATTTTGTTTGAAATTGTTATTTTATAAGTTGTATATTTTTAAGCTGAATAATTCTCATTGGCGATTGTTGCAAGCAAATATTATTATGTGTAGATTATTGTTGTATAATTTCGTAGTATTGTTTATATACTTAGAAAAAACATATTTTTGTTTTGTGGTTTTATTAATTACAAATACTTAAACGCTAGGCATTGTTTCCAATATAAGTTTTTTAATACTATTTAAATATTGTGTATTTTTCTTTGTTTGTTTTTCATTTTTAATTTAAGATTTTTATGCCAAACTTAAGCAGGAGAACACAAATGTTTCGAATTCCGTATTGCAGTATTAAAGAAATGTTCTCGTTAAATTAAACAAAAATAAAAAAAATATTTCTCTTAGGATCATACAAAAATACATATTTGGAATAAGTAACATGGTTTACGATGATTTTATTCTCTCAGTTTAATTGTTTTTTATTTTTATTTACCTATTCTTAAAGAACAGAATAATAGGAGGGGAGAAAAAAGGAGGGAACACAAAAATAAATAAATTTTTTCATTATGTTCATATACACATAAAGAAATTATAATGACAATAAATTAGTAAAATAAATTAATAACGTATATTTGCATAAATAAATAGAATTGAAAATAAATATACATACATAATTCAATAAATGATTAAAATAATAAAAAAAATACAAAATTATAATTTGATTTAATTTAATTACATCGCTATCTAATATATGGACGATTGGAGTTGTTTACGAGAAATAAAAAAATTCGTTTTTTAACAATTTCAACATAGTAGATAAATACATACATATATAGCATTTGAAAACCATATTATTTGTGCTGAAAACAAGTTCACCTTTTTGTTCGCTTTTTAAAAAATGAAATGTTATGAACCCACATGATAAGATTGTGATTGTGAATGCTTTAGACAACATAAATGTATTTAAAATTTTGGATAGTTTTCAATGTGATGTTGGAATATGTAAATTCAATCAGATATGACATGTACAAACGAAATCAACTTCCCAAAAATTTTGATTTTTTTAATCTACTGCTTCCAATCGAAATCAATCGACAAATTTATATAGTCTACTCTAAGTGTTTACATAACATTTCTTTAGAAAAGTAATAAATCATGAAATAAAATAAAAAATCAACACAAAATCAAAAAAAGAATAGCATATTAATTACTAAAATACAATTTTAGATATTCTAAAATAGACTGTTTTGTTGTTATTCAAAAGAAATAACAAATATAAGGGGAGTATAATAATGATAAAAACATTATAAATGGATTTTAAATAGAATAAATAAATACTTTATGCTTGTTTGTTGGTGGTGTTTTTTAGTTTATGCAAATAATGTTTTGTTTTGCTTATATATAAACATAAGTGTTGAAATAAAACATAATTAAATTAAAATTAAGGTATTAATACATAAAATTTAAACACTAAAATGCCTACAGAACAAATGCGCTTCGTTGCCGGCAAAACAAAGTAAAAACATTTTGTCAAATGCGCAACCTTTTGCTTTCTTTTTACAAATTAAATAAAAATAATAATAAGAATATAATTATAATAATAAAACTTATGCTCACTCATAGTTGATAAAAAAAGGAGGAATGAATTTAATTCTGTTTTAATTTTAAGTATTTCTCTTGATTTTTTTTTTCATTTTACTTAAGTGTATATCGTTTATCCGATAGCTGGTTATTTCGCTGTTTAGGGTTTGCTTTAGAGATTGATTTCGTTTTTTGTTTTTCTTTCTGTTGTTTTCGATATATTTTTTTGTATTGCGGCCTAATAACTATCCCTTTCTTGGCTAGAGAAAATTAAATATTATTTAAATTTGCGCAATGGCAATGTTGGACTGTCAGGTGGTGTGCTATAACTGCTGGTCGAACCGTGAAGAGCGCTTCTTTTAGGAGCGGCTTTAAATGTGGAACCGAGTTTGCGAGCACCTCTTGGTGAGTGGGAGGAATGCATGGCCTCCATTGCGGCGGTTGATGATGCTGAAGCGGATGGCATTATACCCAATGGTATTTCTTTCATATTGGCATCAATCGAGGCTTGTACCCAACCTGTAAAATATAAATAAATACAAATAATCGATGGGTTTTAAAATGAATAAATAATAGAAAATCAAAATTTGACCTCTGACAAATTTTATATCCCGAGATATATAGACAAAAACTAATGATTCTATTTACTGTCCATCCGATGTCCTATAGATTTATAGGCAAATCCAACAAATGCGGCACTATTTCTTTGCTACCTCCCTCTATTTCTACTCTCAATATCCTATACATTTAATTTTATTTATTTTTATTTTTCCATGCGCATCAATTACCTATGGCAGCACTAATACCCATTTTGATCATTGAAGTCACCAATTTTAAATCGCTTGAATATCACAGTGCCATAAAAACCTATGATCCAATCGCAATAAGTTAAATCGCTTGGATAACCTTAATTTCTATTCTATTTTTTAGATTTTTAAAATCATTATGTTTTAAATTCGATTTCATTAACATTACTTGCCTTTCACAGACGAACGATGATGATCAATTAAAGCAGCTGCTAATGGTGCTGAATTATTGCTGGTATCCCGCAGTGTTGCATATGCATTATTTACAGGCATTGGATTATATATACGATTTGCGAAATCCTCAAATGTAGTACTTTCCTTGAATCCGGATGATACACTATCCAATGAACGGTTACGTTCTTCATAACTGTAAAACAAACAAAAAACACACACACAATTAAATTCCGGTTAAGCACAATGAAATGACAGTTCAACTTACTATTGCTGATACAGTGGCAATGCTGCACGTTTAGCACGACTTGCATTAATGGCTGTTGCTCGTATTAGTGTAGCCAGGCATGCACCGCTAACAACACTCTCATTTGCCAATGGACCGAACCATGGCACTTCAGGTTTACGATTTACAGTCACCCGGAAAAGACCATTCTTCAGTGGATACACGACAATGAGTACATCACAAAACTCCGTGGGCAATATGTCACGACGATAATCGCGTGAATGTTCACTCCAAACAATATGAACTTCATCATTGCCCAAATGCCGAGTTTTCAGCAGAATTGCCTCGGGCGAATCGAAAGGCATACGTGTTGCAACATGATAAATAACTTCCAGGAATGGTGTAGCATAATATGGTGCTGTCGCTCCACAGCCCTGACGTGGCAGACCGCCCAAGAAGCCATTGTGTGTTTCCAAATCAATTTCCCAGCCCAGTGCTGAGACAAACATTTCGTACATCGTACTACCACTGCCATTGCGCAAAATACTATTCTTGTCCTCCTGTCCCGAGGCCACATATATAACGGCCATTTTGTGAGTTTCCCGGCACTTCTGTAAATCGACATTGCGTAATTCACGCAAAAGTCTCTCTGTACGCTGTAATAAATGTGTTCGCGAACGTCTCTCCCATCCGGCAAGTCCGAGGTGTGAGAATAACAGGCGACAATATTGGAATGGTATTTCGTTGCGGCCATTAAAACTGGACATGTGGTACGATTCGAAAGAATTATGTGAGATGGGTTCATGCATAGAATGCAGCGAACGTGTATCGTGACCCGTACCGGATAACGACGGTGTTGCACTGCCACCGCCGCAACCCATACCAGCTGGTAATTGCATTGCTTGCATATTGAGATTTGAAACAAATTCCTGTTCCATAGCTCTTTGGTTGAGTATTACCGAAATGGCTTGTGCTTCAGCATTGCTGCCCAATGGACTGGGTCCGGGAACATTTAATTGTGCCATTGGGTAGGGCAGGCACTCCGGACTGGTGTGGCCCACATATGCCAGGAGCTGAAAATAGATAAACAACAAATTGAGTTCCCAAATTATGCAATAACTAAGATGGACTTACATCATCTAATTGATCCAAATCAGGCGCCAAATCCTTTGCCAATGGCAACTCTCCCAATGGCCTATGCCTCAGGGTATGTCGCGGTGGTCCTATATCCATACCTTGCATAGAATGCATCAGAGAATCCATCGGTTGAACTTGATTTAAACGTTGAATGTGCGAAGGGCTAAAGCCCATACGAGAATCCAGTGAAGATGGAGTCAGCCCATCGCCTCCCATCGCCACACCACCCTTTGAACAATCACGTTTCGGTTCACTGTACAATATTGAGGCATCCCAACACGCCTTGCCGTTGAGATCACGTAGCAATACCCGAACTTGTTTCTCGGCTGTTACCAAACCAGCAGTCGCGCCACCACCTGGCAGTTTAAGAGTTGGCAACTCTATGAAACTGGCCACCAAACAAGAATTCAACATAAACAGTTGCATATTTTGAGCATGTAATATAGAAGGCAATTCCACGGAATCACGACGCAATTCCACACTATTTACAGAGTTTTGATTGTTGCCCATCGATTGAGATGTCCCACCACCACCTCCGCCGCCGCCATATCCATTGTATCCATTCAGATCGTCTTGTTCTTCGACCAAAGAACTTAGGCGTGCAGCACCAATGCCCATGGGGAAGTGCCCCAGGTGGGTAACCAAATGCATCGCCACCGCCTTGGCACACAACCTAATGGCAGTTATGCACTTTTGAATCGTTTCAGATGTCTGGTAGTTAGCCTCCGGCAATTTACCATCTTCACTTAGATCGTCGGCAGTTATGTGCATATCAAAGTCGTCGTCGGCTGTCAGCTTGACGCGTTCATGTCGCGGAGCCCCGGAGGCGATTTGCAAAAGAACTCTCAACACCATTAAGACCAGTGTATCACCCTTGTCGTTGATAGCCTCCAGCATTATGGTCGGGGGGAATGCCATGCAATACTCGCCGAGACACAACATTAAAGCTGTCAGCACCACCTTGTCCGAATCCTTGGGATTCGTGACATTCTGTATTTCCAAAGCTTTACAAATGGCCGTGATAATCAATTGGGGCATTCTTTCAATAGAAGCCAATTCGGCACCACGCTCAGTGCAAAGCTTCAAAGAGTCCACGGCTACCATTGCAATGGTCCTATGCTTGAACTGTAGTGAATGCAGCAGCACTTGTAAAGCTTCTTTAATACGAGGATTGTATTGGTGGTTGTGGTGCTGTCCATCTTTAATATGTTGACCCTTGGCATGGGGTATAGCTTGCTGGAATTTAGGACTATCAACTTGGGTTGATGACAAGGGGTGCGACAGTTTCATGAGTACCCATTGACCCAACTGACAGAGTGCTATGCATCTAGCTTTAGCTGATGGCTCCCTTCGGGCACACCGCAACACAATATTCAAAATGTGATCTTGTAAATCGGCACATTCCATTAATTCGAATTGCTGGGGGGTTGGTTGCAATAACGGTCTCGGCAGCAAAGTCGACGGATAACACAGTAGGGTTCCTAATAAAGCAGCAACCTCTGCTCGAGGTGTGGAACGATTTGCTTCCAGAGACGTCAACAATATAGCTGAGGCATGCACAATGTCCAGCAGGAGCAAAGTGTGTCCCGGCATAAGTAAACTAAGAAAACGTGGTCCTTCCAAATACTTGAGAACTGCATAGATCAATTCCCGATCTTCTCCCGTCAACAGACGATGTAAGGCATAGTAGAACAGGGGTAGGTGTTGCATTCCGGTGACTGCGCCGTTTACGGCCAGCATGCACAACAATTGAACGGCCCACAGTTTACCCCTCTTGAAAGACTTGTCCAATGTAAGGGCCCCATAACACCACGGCGCCACAATGCCAATAGGTGGCACCAAAGTCGGCGGAGGTGGAGTTGTTTGATTGTCCGTTGAGATGCCCTGATTGTGTTTGATCTTGATCAAATTCAAGGTCATATCAAGTAAATGCTTGAATACTTGAGCGTGTAGTTCTGCTTTGGGTATACGATTGACATCGCCTAGAGCTCCCAGCATGCGTTTCCACATAATCGCGGTTGAATCTGGTAACCAGCCTGTGGCGGTGCCACCCAAAATAATCGATCTCCTCTCCGTTTGATACGTGCCCGAGTTGCCTTCACTTTCACCCAAACTGCCGCCGCTGTCGACAGCCAACACATCGATCTGTATTTGAGCATCTTTTATAGAGCCACCTTCGATGCCACTGCTTGCGGTGGGCGAGGGACTACGAGAATCTTCATCATTACTTTCATCCTCAACCCCAGCTTCCAAATCATCCATTTCATCTTCGTTATTTGTGGTCCGTCTGAGACGTTTTGTTTTACGCGACCTTTTCAGCGTGGACAGAGAGTCCAAGGACATGGCTCTTCGCATATCATTGCTAGCCATACTAACAGGGCATGTCAATTGCACATTCTGCATCAGTTCAGGAGTATTTGAGTTTTGTTGTTGTGTCATCGTATTGAGAGAGTGCTCCACACTCGTGGATAAATTAGGCGGGGCTTCAACAATGGCTTGGTGTGGTTTTTGGTGCCTGGGCTTTCGGCGTATGCGTGATGTACGAGCCATTGAAGCTAAACTGCCCTCGCTGTAACTGCGACTCAAGATGGGTGTAACCGGGTAACGGTGCGTGCTACTTCCCATCTTCTGAACGTTGCCTAAATTCGCACTGTTTCGCCCGCTTGGCAATAAGGTTGTCTGTGAATTCTCTTCTGAACGACTAGCATTTGAGACACGTTCATGTTGTTGGCTATCTTTTGTTTCCCGCTCCTTGGGTACCGAACCATTGGATACTGAAGACGTTTGTTGCCAAACGCCTATGCGCCTGCGCTTTCCTTTCGATTCGGCCAATCTATCCAAGGGCAAATCTTGTAAATTCAGTGAATAGACATATCGCGAAAACACCCTGGTCAGCGTTTGAATTGTCTTGTCCCATTCGATGATCAATTCTTCGCGATAGGTCAATGATGTGAGAACAACCAGAAACTTCTCCCAAAGTTGAACATTTACCGGCACATTGGTGTGGGCACGTATCCAAGTTACAATCAATGTTTGGAAAATGGCTTGACCCAATATACCACCCAAACTGGAACTTTTTGACGCGGTAGGGGGATGTTGCTGCAGCACCACCGATGTTACTTGCAATAAAACCAACAATAGTTGCTCCCAAGTCCTTGGTTCCATAGGCGTGTTCATAACCATTGTGCGATACACACTCAAAACTTTTTTGCAAACTTCAGTTTGCTCCTGCAGAGGAGTGGTGCGATACTCCCTGGACTTTGCGGGAAAGTATATATTGAGGTTGCTGGTATTGACCAGAAACACATTTGCTGCATTTGTTACAAATATCTGGAGAATATTCTGCAGACCAGCTCTCACGCCCACATTATCCTTGGCCATGGCTCCAACATACGAAGGATTTCTCATGCGCACATTCGCCTTAGGAGTACCTCCGGCGTTTTCTCGACTATTATGTTGCTGTTGCTGCTGCTGAGTTGCCGTGCCCATTGTATCTTCGGGTTCCAATAAAAAGGGTGGAGGAGTATTGCCGGTCATCCAATCTCTATACACAGCAATGGAACATCGTATAGCATCGATTTGTGCTTTCGTTGTAAAGTTCAGTAAGAATGCTTGCCGATAAACTTCATGGATGAAGTTGACATTTTCTCGTGTAGAGTAAAGGACATCGCGCACAATTAGGCCCTGTTGATAAGCATGCAGACGCATATGATCCGCTGCCTCAGCTATGTGGACACTGTCCAAGCGATGTTGCAGCAAGCGTTCGTGGGTGAACCGTGACAACCAGTTGATCAGTACCACCACACAGGAGGCCATTACCTCTTCTTTTTTGTTTATCGACCGCATAACTGGCAATTCCAAACGCGGCTCATACACCGACATCGTAAAATCAAAATTCGGACTAAATACTGGTAGAAAAACTTCCTTGAAGCGTTGCAGCAAAAAAGCAAATGCTTTGTGATCCTTTTGAGCGTGATTGTCACTCCATTTAAGACATGCCGTTGTCTGCACCATGCTATTGAGTAGAATTTCCAAACCATCACGAGGATCAGGTGGTTGAGATTTCTCACTTGACGACGGTGGTAACAGAGCTACCAACTCTGAGCTCTGTACCGGATGGGAATAACTGTCATGAAACACGGACGTTATGCCTCCTTCCACTTTCATATTTGGATGATTTATAAAATCACCAGGACTGAATTCAACATCGGGACCTTGTAAACCTTTTTGGGGCACTATGAGACCCGGTATTAAATCGGCATACATATTATGTACATAGGCGGGAGCATTTTCACCCAATGCCTGATACCAAAGAAGGAAGTAGCTGTTAAATAGGAGAGAGAGAGAAAATTAGATATTGATGAGATAACAAATAAAGTTAAATATGTAAGTAAAAAATTGAGAATTAGCTAATTTTTAATATTTATTTTCACTCCTACTTACCGTACACCTTCTTTGCGCAATTTCGGCGAATTCCCCAAATGTAATAATTTGCCCATGATCCGACTTAAAGAATGACACTGCCATCGTCGACCCAGAAACTCGGGCAGCAGACATAGTATTTTTTCCAACAGCCATAGCGAACCATCCAACTCTTCTCGATGGGCTTTGTGAACTAAATCGAATGGAAATAATTGAGCATATGATTATTTTGAAACAAGAAAAAAAACATACACATGTAGGTATGCATAACTAATTACAAAACTATAAAAACAATTACTAGACGCATATATGAAATTCATACTAAATAATAATATTATTATGATGCTGAGTAAAATAATGAATTTCGAACTGCAATGTTTCTGAAAATGCGAAAAAGTACAAACTAAAAAAACAACATACTGGAAATCATGCAAATTTTGAATGACGTCTTTGCTTGGATGATGTGAATTTGAAATTTGTTTAATATATAGGGGAAGCTAGGAACACAGGAATGATAGGAATTAATTTAGAACTGGATGGTAGGTGTATGATGAAGAAAAGAACAACAAACAATAACAAACAAATGAATAACAATAACAAAAAGCACAAAACAAACGATGAATGGCATAGTATCGCAATTATTTCTAGAGATGTTTTTTGATGTGATTATCTATTTAATTTTGCTTCTCTGTTTTCGATACTGATTGATTATTTGCTGAATGGTACAAGGTTTTAGTTAATGTTTAAGTCCAGCAGCAAAAGGTTTGCAAAATAAATTCATAATTTAAACATTTAAAAATATTTTACTTTCTCAAAATATAAAAAATCCAGTTTATTATACATTGTACCATTGCAGAATCAATTCTAAATGCGAAAGAAGAAAAAAGAAAGCAAAAAAAACAAGAGTGAAACTTACCAATGTGAAACGGAAGTTCTGCGATATTTTCAATACATATTTTTTGTCAAAATTTATATTCGCATTTTTTTGTTTTGTATTCAACATATTTGTTGTAGCGATAGTGCGTATTTTCGTTTGTGGATTCGAATTGAAAGAAAAATAGTTTTGCGTTAAAAACAACACAACACAAATTTGATTTGATTAGGATTTGGGGATTTATATATTTTGTTTTACAACACAAACACACATACACGCACAAAGACCAATAGCAAGGATGTGTTTTGCATTTGAAAATATAAATAGAAAAATACACAATACATTAACAGAAGATATTGTAATAGTAATTGAAATAATTATGTATGAATTTATATGTAGAAGTAGATTTAAAAATATATTTCAGAAACTATTTACATAAATAATTATGTTTATAATACATTTTTGGTCCAAATAAAATATTTCTATATATATATATATATATACAGTGGTGGTCACAGAATTAAAACATTTACTGTGGTAAACATTTTTTGATCAGCCCTCGATTCGTTTGAAGTATTCTTGAAAATTTTTTAATTCAGAACACTTCGATATATAGCACTTAAGAGATTTAGTGTGAAAATAGAAAATTATTGCATGCAATTTTTCCATAAAAAACGGTTTTTATGAAAATACATCGACTTTGAAGTGGCCATATAATTAAGACATTGTTTGGGATTTTTTACTTTACGCATTTTTTGAAAATATTTTTAGAAAAGCTCTTTAATTTAGTTAAATTATGTAAAATCAGAACTGATAAAATCATTTACAGATACAAAGTTTTGAAAAAATCTGTAAAATCTATCAAAATTGCCAAAAAATTTGTACAGTACAACTTACATTCAGATAATCACCCTTATTATAGAAAATAAAGGTCCGAATGCACCAGAAATTGCTAGAATTAGTAGAAAACAATAAATAATTCCCAAAATAAATAAATATTTTAAATAAGAACTCAAAAAATGGGAATTAACCTAAAGGAACGATTCATTTTCAATAGCCTTTACTGAAGAAGGCCGGAATATTTTTGCAGTATGTGAGAAAAAATATATTGATAATGGTATTTATTATATCAAATCGACCGTTCGAGTAGTAGAGAATATATTTTATCAAAAAATATATCTGTCAGAACAGAACGAACAGAGATCAACGCCTAGGTTGACGAGTAAAAGTTTCTGGCACACAGAAGCATGTTTGATGGTCAATTCATGACACTTAAAATCTATTGAACATGACAATATTTTTCCAAAATAATATTTTTTGAATCGAGTAACTTCCACTTAATCTATTTACGTATCAAGGAAGTAAAAATTGTGCAGTTTGACAAATATTTGAAGTCTTGTGTTGAACATCAAAAATGCTGCTGTGTGCCAGAAACTTTTACTCGTCAACCTAGGCGTTGATCTCTGTTCGTTCTGTTCTGACAAGATATATTTTTTGGTAAAATATATTCTGTACTACTCGAACAGTCGATTTGATATAATAAATACCAATATCAATCGATTTTTTCTCACATACCGCAAAAATATTCCATCCTTCTTCAGTAAAGGCTATTGAAATTGAATCGTTCCTTTAGGTTAATTCCCATTTTTTAGTTTTTATTTCAAATATTTATTTATTTTGAGAATTATTTATTGTTTTCTACTAATTCTAGCAATTTCTGGTGTCTATAATAAGGGTGATTATCTGAATGTACTTATCTGAGTGTACTGTACAAATTTTTGGCAATTTTGATAGATTTTACAGATTTTTTCAAAAAGTTTTATCTGTAAATGATTTTAACTGTGCTTATTTTACATAATTTAACTAAATTAAAGAGCATTTCTAAAAATATTTTCAAAAAATGCAGTAAAGTAAAAATCCCACACAATGTTTTAATTATATGGCCACTTCAAAGTCGATGTATTTTCATAAAAACCGTTATTTATGGAAAAATTGCATGCAATAATTTTCTATTTTCACATTAAATCTCTTAATTGCGGTATACCGAAGTGTTCTGAATTAAAAAAATTTCAAAAATAATTCAAACTAATCGAGGGCTGATCAAAAAATGTTTACCACAGTAAATGTTTTAATTCTGTGACCACCACTGTATATATATAAATCATGCCTTTAGAGTTTTATATTAAATGTTCAGTAGATCATTTTATATTTGCATTCATTATTTATTATTAACCGGAAAAAATAAACCGCACTAGCAAGTCAACAACTGACTTTTCCACCAAACGGATCCCCGAACTGTCCTATCCGGATCTACAACCAATAATACCGAAAGTGTATATGACGCTCCAGTGTGTCAATTACATGTGGATAATTATAACATTACTAGCACATTATAACATTACTAGCACATGGATATAGGATTATTTAAACATATCAAATATTTTACTTTGTTTGCACAGAGAACTGCATATGTCAGAAGAGCTTACCAACAAACGCCCACACCTTTATTGACAATAATTAAAATTTTAGTACCACCTCAGTTACTTGTTTATCTTATAGAACATCGGTGTGAAGATAAGTTGGGCAATTTAAATGGGATATTTAACAGAGTGGAAGTTAACAGAACTCTGTTAACTCATTAACAGAGCTATATTAAGGAGTTACATAGTGATGAGTGCGAAGATAAATTGGATTTTTTAGATTTTATTATTTTGTTTTGTATTTATAGCACATATATGATAATAAAATAAAAAATCACCTTCCCATAAGATCTCAACATTATTTAAACAAAAATCAGAGACCTACTTAAACTAAATAAAATGTAGCTCAGGCCAAAACGACTAAAGCAGCTACGTTATAAAAGAGGGCGGATGAATGCCCCCCCAGGGGGGCAGCTTTGAACAGGGGTTGGCATTTTTGAACGACATGGTTTTTTACAGTGTTTATGTTCGAATATGTATGTATTTTATTCATACATATCAGAAATGCATGAATTCATTAAAAATATATAAAAAATGTTCGATATTTAAAAAAATTAGATCAAAAGTTATTAAAACATAAAATGACTTAAGGGAACCCCCCCCATTCTCGATTTTATTTTTTCAAGATTTTCAATGGGCTGGTAAATCAATACCAATGCTTGTTAAGGTTTGTAACTTTGCACATATATAATTGAAGATTTAAAAGAGAAGAAAAATAATTTACAAAAAAAATTTGTTATTGTTTTTTGTAATTAAAGAAAAGTCCTTATTTTTGATGGCGGGCATGATAACTCCTCACTGGAACATCGGAATCCGAAAATTCCAACGGTGTTAGAAAGAGTACATGTCTGACTCTCGTATGAACTAGGATTATTGACTTCGCTCTAAAATTAAGAAAATGGTGGCCCTTTGAAAAAATATTTTTGAAAAATCGCGGATTTTTTACCAAAAACCAAGTTAAAAAATAAGGAAGATCTTCACCGATTGGCTTTATCCTAGTTCATACGAGAGCTATACACTCCCAGAGAAACGTTGCAAAATTTGGAACCGATTGGATTATTAGTTTTTGAGTTATCGTGCCCGCCATTCGCAAAAAAATGTTTAAGAAAAACGCGTTTAAAGTTTGAGAAGCCCTTCAGCCGTCACTTGATGCTGACACAATAAATCGGATATATCTTCAACAGTTCTTGAGATTTTCACTTGAAATTTTGTAGAGACATTCTTTAATCAGTGTAGATTCGAATTGTATCAACAAAAATTTTGACCCCGAGAATGGGGGGGGTCCCCTTAAAAACAAAAATTAATATGGTGAAAAATACAGTTAATTTCGTAATCTTATTAGCCCATTTGAAATTTTGAGAAATCGAAGCCAAAAGTTAAAAACTCCTTTTTTTACTCGAGTTTAATGGGCACGTTCAAAGGTGCCACATCCATGACATTTTACGGAAATTTAAAATAACTTTTTTTGTAATAAATATATATGAAAGAAATTACATTAGTTATGTTTGAAATGATTGTTGGAATGCAAAAAATTTGTTTGACGAAAGAAAACTATTACAGAATTCTTCCTGCGCCTTTACAACCAAATGAATACAAGTTTACAATGACACTGAGAAAACATGGTCACCCATGCACAATATTTCGACAACTGAAAAAGCAAGCCAAAGTGGTTTACGAATATAGAGAACAAGATTGCCATATACAAAAATGTGGTTGCGGATCGGAAAAATAATAAACCAAGAATTTATGGGCGCTGTTCAAAGGTGCCCCACGTTCAAAGGTGCCCCCCTCTCCCCTACTTTAAGCCCATATACCAGTTATATAATATATAACTGGTATAATATATAACCGGTATATGGTCTTAAAGTACTCCTCGAGACCTTCCATTTAAGCCCAGTTTCATCCGCCCATCTTTTATAACGTAGCTGCTTTAGTCGTTTTAGCCTGAGCTACATTTTCGATTTAATATATTTTATCGGTTGTATTTAGTTTAAGTAGGTCTCTGATTTTTGTTTAAATAATGTTGAGATCTTATGGGAAGGTGATTTTTTATTTTATTATCATATATGTGCTATAAATACAAAACAAAATAATAAAATCTAAAAAATCCAATTTATCTTCGCACTCATCACTATGTAACTCTTAATATAGCTCTGTTAATGAGTTAACAGAGTTCTGTTAACTTCCACTCTGTTAAATATCCAATTTAAATTGCCCAATTTATCTTCACACCCATTTATAGAACATAATTTTGGTACCATATATTACTTTCGTACTCTTATAGTATTTGATACATTAGCATGAATTTCAAAACTAAACAAACAAATTTCCAAAACTTCATCCATACCCCCAACCCTACAATAATCTTATTTCCAAATTTCAGTGTCCATCTCTATCGGTTCACCTAAATCCAAATTGTACCAAATTTAGTACACATTAATAGAAATTTCAAAAATTCCTACATACCCCAATCAGTGATCTAACCTCCAAATTTCAGGATTCTAGCTCTATTGGTTCACCCAAAATTCAAATTGTACCAAATTTAGTACACATAAGTGCGACATACCACAATTCTACATTGCAGTTTCCAAATTTCATTGTTCCAGCTCTACCGGTTCCCTCAAATCGAAATTCTACCATCTAGTGCATTTCGTACACTTAGGTACAAATTTCCAAAAACTATCGCTACGTTTATTTCAATTTTCAGCATTTCATCTTCATATATTTCTCCAAATTCAAATTTTACCAAATTTAGTACAGTTTAGCGCTTTTCGTATACATGAGTACATGCTGTCAAAATCATCTTCTTATATCGAACTTACTTGTCAACCTTAATTCGCATTACAAATTTCAAGTTTTTAGCTCTATTCATTCACATGTTACGAAATTGTACCTGTACTTTTCGGATACTTATAGTTCAAATGTCCAAAAATTCCTTTGCTACAATCCATCAATGTCCCCCATTTCAAATTTAAGAGATCTAGCTCTACCGGTTCGCCCAATACAAATGTTACCACATTTAGTACTTTTTAGTACGTTTCGTGCATTCTAGTACAAATTTTTAAAAACCCAGCCTTATCTGACACCTTTGAACCAAGATTGACTTTCACGCCAAATTTCAAGATTCTAGCTCTGGCCGTTTCGTCTGGGCGTTGATGAATCGTTAAGTCAGTCAGTCAATCAGTCAGTATCACTTTACTCTTTTAGTATAAGTTTGGTAGAACTCCCCCATCTAGACTCGTCAGTACCGACATACATAAATTGGAAATGGGGAAGAGTCGTTAAATCCATAGCCCTTTCATTTGGTTCGTTTATATAATCAACCGGCCGAGTCTTAAGTGTATACCGCACATTCTAAAATTTGTCTTAGGACACGCAACTTGTCACCATTGATGCATGTCCATATGTGTGTTAATAGGACCAACAATTTTATAATATCTAGAGTATTTTTATATGCAATGTTAATACCAATGCCAAAAAAGAATATAATCTTACCTTTTTGTTTTAAATTCGCCTCCGCTTGGATAAATGTGTCGTATAATATGAAGTACACATGACTGTAGTTAATTTGGAACAATTTTTTGGCTTCCTCATGATCGACATTATCTGCAATGACAAAAAATATGAATTTTACAATTAATTGGCACAAAGTCAGCAGTCAAAGTTGGAAAAGAACCTGTCGGAGCCCTTCAATACCGAACGAGGATTCAGAAAAGGTGACAGTTTGCCGTGTGACTTGTTTAACATCATGCTGGAAGAGGTCATACGAGATGCAAATGGGAACAGAAATGGCACTGTGTACACCAAACAACAAATACGCCGACGACGTCGACATAATGGGTCCAACATTGCGAGCCGTAACAGCCAAAGTGGCACTGGCAGTAAATGGCGAAAAGACCAAGCTCATGGTATCAACGCGCAAAACGCCAAGTAGACTCGGACCAACTGTGAAACTTGAAAACTACAGTTTCGAATTAGTGAACGATTTTATATACCGCGGTACCGCCATAAAACATCTAATAACATCATCTTTGAAATCCGAAGGAGAATAGTGTTGGCCAACAGATGCTACTATGGTCTGAGTAAGCAACTCAAAAGCAAGGCCACCTTTCGCCAAACTCACACTTTACAAGACGCTGATATTACCCGTGATGTTGTATGGATCTGAAGCATGGGTACTTACGCAAGCAGATGAGGCAGCTCTTGGAGTGTTTGAGAGAAAAATTCTACGGAAGATCTATGTGTCGATCTGCGTCGACGGTAAATATTGCAGTCGAATGAGAACCATATATTCTCGAACATCGACATAGTCAGACGTACCGAGCTGCAGCAACAACGTTGGCAAAGTCATGTTGTGAGAATGGATAAAGGCATATAAAAGCGAGCCAACTGATGGTTCATGCAGAAGAGGAAGGCAACTAATCCGATGGAAAGATCAAGTAGAAGACAACATCTGGGAAAATGGTCTTTCATTTTGGATGAAATGCGCACAAGACCGACAGGCTTGGAATTCTTTTTTTATATTGGCTTAGGGAACAACCCTTTTGTCATAAGCCAGCTAAGTAATATATCACAAAAATAGAAATTAATAGAAAAATGATACCAATTATCCTTACTTTGGATTCTTGAAACAAATTGAAGCTCCAAACTAAATAAGTTTTTTGTTCTATATAAATACTTTATTTACTCTTTTGACGGCATTTTTGCAAAATATTGAATGTGTGTATATTTCAAAGCTAAACCATCCACTAATTCCAATGGGGAATAATAAATATTGCATCACAATTACAATTTCTAAGGTTACACAGCACCAATAGAAAACACGATTTCTGGATGTTGACCCCCTCTGGGGTACATTAAAACAAAAGCAACAACAATCAAAGAACAACACATGTTCTGAGTATTGTGGTGGTAATAAACACAACGAATGCTTAAAAATATCACATCATAAATGTGAATATTTCTTCTCTCTCCAGTTATATTTGTACAGACCGCATATGAAACCACAATTAGTAACATAACTGCGTTTGGATAATTTCTTTTTCTGGTTTGCCTGTTTTTTTATTTGTCTCTATTTCTACTTTTACGTTTTCTTTTGTTTTCTTCAGTTTACAAAACTAAATTATTTCTTGGTATGGATGGGGGAATTCTTGTAGGTATGTTATTATTCATCTAGCTGTTGTTGTTGTCGTTGTCGTAGAAAGCGATAATGCATACAGGGAGAACCCAGCCAGGTAGAGTTAGTAAATCTGTGGCCATGAAGGTTTTACTTTAAGCTTAATTTGAATTTGTAGTTTATTTGACTGTGACTGTTAAGTCAACATAAATATATATGCAAGTGTGTGTGTTTTTGTCTGAATGCTTCTTGAAGTTCACATAAACTGCGGATTGTTGTGTTTTTTGTATTCTGTGCGATTGCGCATTTTACATGTCTGTCACCCAGCAGATTGTTGTAGTCGCACCTTTCATTAACTTTGCCTACGTTGATTACCTTATCGCCACCGTTCTTTCTTTGGTAGTTTCTTTTTCCGTGTTTTTTTCTTTGTTTAGTTTTCTCCTGAACAATTCTGTGTGCATACACACACAAACATTGTTTTAAAGTCGTTAACACATTTAAGCTGTTCTTCTTGACTTTTCCCAGTTTCAAGATATCGGTATTATTAATTATTATTGGTGTTGTTGTCGTCGTCTTCATTTCCACAAGCTAAGACATCATTTAAAATACTGTGGCAAATCTACATAAATGACTACACCACAAAACCAATAATATTTGAAGAAGCGTGTGATTTTTGTTGATTTGCTTTCTATTTTAGGGCAATGCCCCACAGAAAACATCTACAAAAGAGTTAGGTTATTGTAATATTATTTACAGAATCTGAACATTTTCAATATTTTATATCTTTTTTTAAAATTATAAATTATATTGATTCTAAATCAAATGAATTCGAAAATGATCTTCCAAGATATCATGTGTAATAAAGTATCTTTTAGAACCAGTACTTGAAGTGTTCCAACGCAAACAATATCATTACAAGCGCAGTTTCGCATTGGTAGTTGTTTTCAAGAAGGAAATGCGATGTAAAGGGACAAGCGTAAGTAAATCAAACGATTACGCACTGCTGCCATGAAACGAGACATGCATTTGCCTGCGGATTTATGGTTAACAGGAGAATTAAACACCTCGTCTCCAGATTCTCTACAGTAGATGAGCGAATTGCTATAATCCGTATAAAAGAGAAGTTCTTCTACATCTGATCTGTCTTATTTTTCATCCCATGCTCCGACCGAAGACAAAGATGAGGAGATCAAAGACATATTCTACGAGTGCCTAGAAACCGCATATGTCCGCTGATCTGGCCATAACATTAAAATTCTGATAGGAGATTTTAATGCAAAAATCGGAAAATTCAGCCTCCATGAAGAAACATCAGAAAACGGCATAAGGTTGACTTCGCGGCAGCAGTATTATCAGAAAAAAGAAGAAGAAAAACGTGAGCGAGAGCAAATCGAGATGTACAGGAGTCAGAACGAAATTTTACCAACGAGTTAAAAACCAAACCGAAGGCTTTGTTTCAGGCACATCCTCCTGTAGAGATGAAGGTGGATACCTATATAGATTGTATACCACAGCCAAAATGAGGTCAGAATAGCAATTAATCGGCTGAAGAATAATAAAACAGCCTGTGGATTACCAGCCGAACTATTCAAGGCCGGTGGTTAGATGCTGGTCAAGAGCATGCACCATGCCCAATGATTGGAATCTCAACATCCTGTGCCCCGTGCACAAAAAAAGACAATACGATATGTGCCAACTATGGAGGAATAAGTCTCCTTTCCATCGCATTTAAAGTGCTATCCAGCGTGCTGTGTGAACGACTGACATGACATAATTGGACCATACCAATGCGGCTTTAGACCTGGCAAATCCACGATTGACCAGATTTTCACTCTGCCCCAAATCCTGAAAAAACAACGAAAAACACATTTCACCTATTCGTCGAATATAAAGCCGCATTTGAGAGCCCTATCCGTTCTGAGGTGTTTAAAACCATGTCTGCGTTTGGCATTACTGCTAAATTAATACGGCTATGCAGGATAACTTTAACTGGCACAAGGCCAGCAGTTAAAGTCGGAAAGGATTTGTCGGAGCCCTTTAATACCGAACAGGATTCAGACAATGTGACAGTTTGTCGTGTGATCTTTTTAACATTCTGCTGGAAAAGGTCATGTGAGATGCAAATGTGAACAGAAGTGGCACTATGTATACCAAACAATAAATGTTATTCGCCTACGCCGATTACATCGACATTACGAGCGGTAACAGCCAGTGTTGGCCAACAGATGCTTATATGGTCTAAGTAAGCAATTCAGAAACAAGACCACCTCTCGCCAGACCAAACTCACACTCTACAAGCGCTTTTGTATGGATCAGAAGCATCGGTAATTTCTCAAGCAGATGAGGCAGCTCTTGGAGTGTTTGAGAGAAAAATTATCCAAAAGATCTATTGGCCGATCTTCGTTGACGGTGAATATCGCCGTCGAATGAATCATAAATTGTACCACATATTCTAGAACATCGACATAGTCAAACGTATCGAGCTGTAGTGACTAAGTTGGCTAGGTCATGTTGTATGAATGGATGAGAATATTCCACATCGAAAGGCACATAAAAGCGAGCCAACTGAGAAAAGCGAGGGGAATGCCACGAATTCGATGGAAATATCAAGAAGAAGACAACATCTCGGAACATGGTCCTCCGAATTGGATGAACTAAGCACAAGATCGACGCGCCTGGAAATCTTTTATAAGCTCGGCTTATAGAACAAATGTTCTTTCACAAGTCAACTAAGTAAGAAATACTTGTTATAGCCTTGACTACTACAACTTCGTTGATCGGTTTTAATTTTATTCTATTCTCTAGGTTTATTTAATTGCATTTCTTTATATACTTCATTGTAATATATAGAGGCCTTAAACTGTACTAAATAAGAACTAATGAATAACCTCAACTTTAAGCCTAATAGGGTATTATTACTTTGATACGATTAAAAACGAGGCGTTTAGAAATATTCCCAATTTTTATTTGAACCACGCTGTATTAGACTGGTTGGAGGAATATAACCACGATTGAATCTTAGTATGTATATTATAATATTCGTTGCAAGCATATCAAGTTATATTTTTTCGAACTTATAGGTCCACTCCTTCTGCTCAGCTTATTAATTTACCTCTAAGTTGAAAAACAATATAAATTTGGATAGAACATACTCAGCACAGAACATTATCTCTATTTCACACACTTTTGTTTGAATCGCTCAGACTATGTTCTGATATCACAAACATATTTAACACACCATCTTAACAAATACATTGTATCTTCTCAACGTTCACTTTTTCTATGACGATCACTTATTATGATTCAGCAAAATAATTCCAAAATTATGTCAAATATCATTTTTTCACACATCTACCTTAGAAAATTATACGCTTGTCTATTTATTAGAATGAGGTTTTATTATTTTATGATATAAAGAACAATCAACCAACATACAAAGAAAATTGACCGGTAACCCAAATAATTATATGGAACATATTATGAAATAAAT